ATTGCTTGTACCTTATGCTGTATCATTTGGTTTTATTGCTAAATAGTATGCATGCATAAAGTGTAAAATGTTTATATCAATTCTGTCATTTTTCAACAAGTTGTACAATATGTAAACGTTGGATAACAGGATGAGTTTTATCTTGTTACATATCAGTTGTATCTACACGGAAAATAGAAAGTTGAGGCAGGTGCCCGTCCAAATGTAGCCCGTTACTTGATACGGGGCCAGCGGCGTGACGTAATCATATCGGGGTCTGTTTGTTTTTGCCTACTTATCTTATAGACGAACAATGTAAAACTGATAAAGAAATGAATGAAAAACGTATGGACCAAGAAAAGTAAAATGTCGCCTTATTGACACACACTGACATGTGGACAATAATTATTCTTCTTGACCACCAGGAAAAAAAATTTCAGTCCATAAATTCGCAGCCTCTGTCGTTTTTTCTTCTGTCTCTTCAACACTTGTCCTTGCATACTTACTCAGACTGAATGAGAAAAAAGTCCTTTTCCAGAAAAAGAAGGTAATGTTTGTACATATGTTATTGCAGGCTAGAGCTGACCTAGAGTGTAAAACTATTTTGCAAATAATCTTTTAAAAGAAAAAAAATCTTTTTTGAGGATACATGTACTTATTGCGCTTTCTATGATAAATACATGTATATTCTAAGGACATCTTTTTTTTTTAAAATAGTGTATTTATATATTTATATATATAGTAACTAAGTAAGGAATTGTGTTTCATGTTTTTTCATTAAAAAGGCAAGATTGTCCTTTACGAAAATTTGATATCTCATTTGCAGAAGAAGAATTGTCAGGTGCATATTTTGTTTCTGAAATAATAACATTTCTGTAAAGAACAATACAGTAGTATTTTGCAAAACTCAAAAATGTTCCATTTTAGTAGAATTGGAGAAGAAATACACGCATATACATACGAGTCGTATAAATCTTCGAGCTCTGTGAAAAGTAGACTAGTGCGAAATACAATGTTTGAGAATATTGCAATGCTAAAAAATACGTTCATTTGAATGCAAAAGTCTTTTTTACAGAGAAAAGGATTTATTCAACATATTATTTATTTATTTATAATATTATTTATTTATTTATTTAATAATTTTTAACATTTATTTATTTATCGTATTTACTATTAACACCCTATGATATTTCGGTGATTCCCTCGTATTCTCACGTCCAATGCCCTCTCACACACCTGTCCCTCTAATTAACTTCTCAGCTGAGAAGCCAGGCTTCGTTGCTATGTCGAATATTTCTCAGGCTCAATCATACCCCTCAAAACCTTTTTATATATGCTCCTATCATTTACACGAAATAAAAAGTACGTCTGGCTTTACTGTGGTAATTTTCTGACACTTATTTTTTGGCTTAGTAAGTTTTTTGTGTTGGTAGTTAGGGTATGAACGCAACTTTGTTGTACAATTTTGACATTTTGATGAAGTCGTTTGGGGCGTTTTATTTCGAACTTTTCCGTTGATTTTTTTCCCCCCGATATTCAATATTTTGAACACTTTTATCATCTAAAGAGCTTTGGGGGAAAACAAGTTAACAACAAAGATTGAGTACTGCGTGATTAAAAATTGCAATGCAATTTTCATCGAATAAAATATTCTTATTTTATCCTAAATAAATAGAATATTTGCAGGAATTAACTTTCATAAAATTTTGTACAATACTCTAAGATAGCCATTTTGATTTCTTCCAGCAGTTTTCTTAATTGTGCAGCATTTGTCACTGGCAAGTCCGTTACATTGTACTAGTAAGCAGTTCCTATGACGTCATAACATGATGGCATCGCAATCCGTAATTGAAATGCTTAATTTGCATAAAGCCATACCTTAAAAATTTCAAACCTCAATATAGAGCAAAATATTACTCAAAACCTTGTTTATTGTATTCAGTAATTTAAATAAACAAGGTTTTGAGTAATATTTTTCTTACATAAAATCACTATTTGAAGGGCATATGATAAGTTCCTAAAGACATTCCACGTTTAGAAGTCACATACGTGTATTCAATTATATCGGTAATTTATAAATTGAAATACCCGAAAATTCATCAGAGTAAAAAATCCAGGAAGTTTCCTTTGTTGATAGGATTAAGAGTACTTGCTGGAACGGGAACTATTTCTCTCAGTTTCCTCTTCACCTAACAAATTCTTCCGCGTCACCCAAGTGACAATAGAGAGCCCTTCTGACAAAGGGACTTAATTCTTAATCCCAATCTATTTCTACCAATTAAATATTAAATAAAAATAAAAGGAACAATACAGAAGAAACAAGAAGTGGACATTCCATGTTCTCCGACTGAGTTCTTTGTGAATTATGGCGGTGTGATTACTAGCGCCCTCTCACTCCCTTCTCTGTACATAACTACAGGAAGTCAAGGGAAACTTCAAATGTTCAAACATCATTAAAATCAATGCTAAAGTTAAATTTTCATTCTCCAACAGCTTGCTTAGCTACAGACAACATTTGACTGAATTTTTATCAGGTAATTTTTAAATTGGGTGTTAATCTTTAAGTTCATTTTTTTTTTCTTAGGTGTAATAACTTTAATTTAGCGCGAATAGAAAAAAATATGCAAAAAAAAAAAAAAAATCGCATTAAATAATTATTTTCAAAATCATTTTTTAAAAACAGTTACTTGCCATTATTTTATTTTTTAATGTAATGGTTATAACATCAACAGGCATTAACGTTGTCTATCAGTTTCTATTAGCTTATCAACAAATAAGAGAATTGAAATCCATGTAAACTGTGAAGATAATGCATTTTTGTTGATAAACCTTGATGATATGGACATGCATTCTGTGAATACAATCTACAATCACTCGAAAGTCACTATTACCTCATAAGAAGTGTTTGGAGATTGGCAAAAATTCCTGCAAATTACCTGAACATAAACTTGGGGTTATATATCACTTTTATGTAGAAAAGTAATCGGCTTCTATCGGTAATTCGCTACCCCGTGGGGAGGGTCGGTCTTTTAATCTCGGATGGTGTGAAATTTCTAGCAGTCTTCATTAGCAGGCGTATCCTTTCGTGTATTACTTAGAGTGCACGTGCGGCGATCAAACCGCGGTCAAACATTAAAAATAATTTTTTCCTCATATGAAAAGATTTTACACTTTAATTATTAATATTTGCGTGGAGAATATTCTTTCAATTTCTCTGGTTTTACGATATTCATTTTATAATAGAGATATTTATTTTATTAAAGTCCACCCAACTGTCGAATTCAGTTTTCAGAATCAATCTTGGAATCAAACCTAGGCAAAGGAATGTGTCACATTCTAATATGTTATTATTATGCAATTTTTATTGCATTTACGATCATGACTTAGAATAGCAGCGGAAGTATATAGCCAATAATCCTGACGCATAAAGCTATTATGTTTATTAATTAGCAAACCGTAATTCTATTGCCAGATAAATATTCGCCGATCATAAAATGGCGGATTCGCTAATAGCGTTGATCTTTTGTGTTTTCCCTAGCAACGTATTATCAGTTTCTTGTACTATCACCAGGTAACGCTAAAACGTCTACGGTGCATAGGTAGAAATATAAACACGAAATTCATTATCCCCCAGTTTGCTTAGGGTCCGGGTTTGTTGAATGCTGTTGACACGGGTCCCGAGATTTATTTGAGACTTTGAATATATGCTATTGTCCGAGTTGGTGCCGTGGGGTGCTTGACAACCCCAAAGTTCCCGGTAGATTGCTTACTGATTTATTGTTTTACGATATATTCTCAAGCGTGGTCAGTATATGCCATATATGATTGTAAATTTCAATTTAAATTTTGACAGTCATAATAAATCCCCGACCTGGTCAACGATCTAAATTCTGCCAGGAAATAGGTTGTTATTCTCGTAAAAACTACACTACAAGATCCTATCAAAAATGAAACTACAACTGAAAATGAACACACAGAAAGCACTTTGTACGCGTTATCACAATTCACGTTGTTTTCCTGAGATAATGGTGATAATTTTCTTTTGAATTCGTCAAAATTGTAAATTTGTGATTTATGCGAAAGCAACAAATTTTCAGAATTTCTTTTTTACTGATTCTTTTTCCCATTCTAGAGCGCTTGACGCAAAAGTTGAAATTCTGAAGAAGTTCCCATTTTCTTTCACCCCTGTTTTACTTAGGCTTTTGAATTAATTTTTGATTTTTATGTATTACTGATCTAAAAGTTGATATTTTTTCCTCCCTAAAAAGAAAGAACCTTTTTTTTTTTGCAAATTTTTAAATGTGTATGGTGCATCATAATGACCACCTTTCTTTAAAATTTGCTTTTAGAATTAAAGCTTTATTTTGTGCAAGAATTCGTGAGAAAATATATACCTAGAGTAGGAAAAAGAAAAATATAAAAATAAGTCGGGAATTTAGAACGTGTAAAATCTTTAGCATCTGGAATTTTTTTAACCGTTTAATTAAAACAATAAAAAATGCCATATAAAAAAGTGAAACATTGAATTCTCCCACGAAAAGGTTTTTATCCAATAGTAAGATAAGATTGACACTTTCAAAGCAGTGCCTTGAACTTATTGTTTCTTGCGTAAGGGTTAATGAGATATTGCAAGGACCTGAAACACGATTTTAGACCAAAACATGCTGGAATGACACCAGGCTTTTTTATACGATAGATACAGATGTGTGCCGAAGTTTCCTCACCAACTCCTCTTATGATTGTAATCTCTACTCCCCAAGATTTTATCAGATAAAAAATACACGGGCAGCTCCGAGGAATTTTACACATATCTTGGAAGACATGTTCAACCTACTTAGGTCTTGTTTTTCTTACATTTTACTGAAGAAAATTTTTTGTGCATAATTTGAACCACCTAATAAGTTTTCGATGTCCGTTGTAACTTGTTTACATGAGCCCCTATGCAATAGAGTCCTGATAGGCTAGTTTGCCATGATGTAAATCTAAACCCCGCCCCTTTTTGTTATCATTCGGGATTTTTCTTGATACCAATGCAAACACTAAATTCAATGTAAATGCACGAAGCGATAGTGATAAGAACGAAGCAATTTTTTTCTGTTTCTAAAGCCATATTTTGTGACTATTTCAGCCACAACTGACCATTTCATCTACTGATGGTCTGACGTATAATATTCAAACCGGACACCGACACTTCTCCGAAATCCTTGTGGGTATGTAAGTTTCTTTGCTTTTATCGGGTTTTTTAGTGAGTTGTGATAATTGGGGTACGTTTATGTGATATACAGATAGTTGACAGATAAAAGTTCCCAAATGAAGATAGGATTCCCTGGTTCTAAACGAATTGTATTTATCGTGCTGGCTTATTATCATATTGGTTTTAAATGTTATTATTTTGATAAAATGATAAAATAATAGCGTTTCAAGTGTTATATCATAATCAGCGAGAGATGTTTCCTCTTGGGCTATCAGTTAATTAAACTATCAATGACTTGTGAATAACTTTTATCAACTATTATTAATTTGAAGACTTTAAGGAATTTTATGAACACATTTTGGTTTAAAAAATATTCTTCAAAGTTTTGATTTGTTCTTTGTTTATTTTTTACTTATTAAATTTATAATATTTTATTAAATTTCTAATTCCACATTTTGTTGGATAAATATATTTTTAAAAATCCTAATTTTGCAGTAAGCACGTTTTAGAATTATCCCTTATAATAAAATTTAGAAACTTTTTTTCAAAAATTTCCTTTGATAAATAAAAAGAAAACTGGCCAATATCTCAATTTTAATATCATAATACCGCTCGATGTACATGTAAGTAATTGTTAATTAATAAAGCATCACCTGCGTGTACAGATTACTCCAATAATCTGTTTAATTACCGACAGTCTGATCAGTTAATCCCGCTAAGTTATTTGTTCTTCGATTTGATTCCGTAAGTGATTGTAAACAACGGCTTCTTATTGTTGTGTTTGTTATAATTGTAAAATAAACAGCAATAGTCCAAAGAACCGCTAATATACTCGATTTACCGAAAACATCAAACGGCAATGAGCTGATTTGAGGTTTCAAGAAAGACATCTTACAGCAAGACGATTTGGAAGTCTCAGTCCTCACGAATTTATTTTTATCTTTTAGCGCCTTTTGGTCAGCAGACGTCAACCATTTAGTTTCACCTGCCTCATACACGCGCACTCCTACGCACTGTATCTTAGGACTATAGATATACCAGTGCCTTCCAAATTTGGAGAAAGAAACCTGTGTGTAGAAACTACGAAATTGGGAATTCTCTTCATGGCTAATTTTCATGGCATATTCCGAATGTTCCTGGCTTAGTGCAAGAGGGTATACGGATATCAAACAAGAGCCAGTCGATCGTTTGGAACATTCTTACGAGACCACCGATCCCCCCGCTAGCGGTTCGGACGAATCTTCTGCTCGCCGGGAGCAGGGTATGCTTAATTTCCAGGAGAGCAGCCCACTCTTGCCAAACGAAGAAGTCGAAGTATTCTTTAATCACCTGGACCGACCCAGCGCCACTGAAAACTCAACCACGCGAAACGCCGGAGATAGTGAGTCTTCTAAACTAGAGAACACTCAGCATCAGTCAGACACCATGTTTCAGAACAGTATGCACGCAATGTCCCTCCCCACGGCAACAGCCCCGACGTACCACGAGACCGCGGGGGCCAACAGTTTTATGCACGCAGGTTCCAGTCCCGTGTATGTCCCCACCACTAGAGCCGTGCTCCCCATGCAGTATGCCTCGGGACAGCCAACTTCTAACCCCAGTGGAGGGTCTGCAATGTGGATGCAACCCGACCCCTCGTACAGTACCCCAAATACCCATCCCTCCGTGTCCCCGAGGTTCGCCTTTGCGCCCTCGCCAAACTCTCCCATCAGTTCCCCCACGGTGAGGGCAGACCAGGCTGGATTTAACCCTTCCCTGCGACCCAGCGGCATCAGCCCCTACTCTGCGTGGAGCCCCGAGCTGTCGTGGAACTACAACATGGCACTGCAGCAAGGACTGAGAAGACCCGGGGCAGGTAGGCATCGCTTTACACCTTTTACAACCTTCTCTTTGATTCTGTTTTCGTTATTTTCTTATCTACCTTGAATCTGTATTTTTCATTCTCTATAGCCGCTTGCTCCCCCTCAGATAATTAGAGGAACTATTGAATTTAGTGAGAAGATTGTAAATACACAAATGCCAATATAATACATGCGCATAAACACGAGCTTATAATGTCCAATTAGTGGCAAAATCTTTCAGCCCTTGTCAATGTCTGTCGGCCAGCGTCCGTATCTGTTTCCTATTACATCTCTTAGAATATGTCGAAATTTACATTAATTACTGGACCAAATCATGTGTTACACAACTAACGTGTAATCTTGATAATTTCTTGATTTTCATGCGCAAAATCAGCTTTATTTTATGATATTTTTTTTACAATTCTAGAAATTGCTTATTCAACAAAAAAATCTTAAAATATCCACTAAAGGATTTTTGATTGAGATAAAATTATACTACAGATATGATAATATATAGATAATTATTATCCTATTGTGGCGAAATAATTATTTATAACAGTGTTGCATTTATATCCACTCAGAAGAGGGTACAGTTATCAAAGCATGTGTGTAGAGTTAATTTATGAGTATTATCAATTATTGTTGTGAAAACACAGGGAATATATCGCTCTGTGGCTCTTTGATTTTTTTTTTAATCAGATTTTATTCTTGAAGAAATTCCTAAATTAAATATATACATATATATGCTAACATTTTGATTAAAAATAATTGTAAAAAAAAAATCATTTTTATTTACTCTCTAAGCATGTGAGAGGACCAAAGGTTATAAAATGATTAGGTTTTATCACCGCAATAGCTTGATAAAAATGAAAGTAAATGATGGTAATTGTGATTAAGTTTGTAGTTTGACGGATGTTCCTGGAAAGATTATATTTCTGACAGGAATGAGGCTCATTATTATACGCTCATGGTTAAAATTAAACAAAGAAATCCCCCCAAAATATTTCATAGATCGGGCAAAAATAAATGAATAGATAAAAGAGAAGAAAATGGAAATTTAGATAAATTATAATTTTACTTTTCAGTGAAACATAATATAAAAAAATATGCTTTAAAAAATAGTGTGCATATATGAAAAAGAAGAATAAATGCTAATAATTTATAACAAACCAATGAAAAACACAGAACAATTAAATATCGGCATTTTTTTAAAGAAATAAAAAAATGTCTTTGGAAAAAAGTTTATAAGCAAAAAAATGATTATAAATGTGCATAAAAATTAAAAAGAAAAGAGAAATAAAGAAATCCAGATTTCACAGCTGTACACGTGCACAGCATAACAGAATGAGCATTTATATGCCTTGTCTAAAACAAACAACAAAAAATTATATTGTATTGAGGCATGCTTCGAACTTTCAAAATAAAATAAATTATTTTCCAGATAAGCTATTTCACAAAACTATATTTTAAATCGAAAAAGATTTTAAAATTGAAAATTAATACAAATTAGTTTTCAGAAAGGCTCATTTGTTAAAATACTTTTACAAAAATTTCCATGAATGAAGCTAGTACGTGATAAAATTACAAGACTAAATATTAAACAAATACTGGTGTGATTTCTCCACATTAAAAACCATATTCCCAAATATAATTTTGCACGTTCGATTTCGAAGTAATGTACAGGACGTTGAATTACAAATACTGATTAATTCTAAGAATAAACATTTTCATGGAATATTGGAAAAAGCAGCTCAAACATCGTGGAAATCTAGGAATTTCCTCAAGAGCATAAAACAGAGGAGAGTAGAATTCTTTGTCCAGCGAACGTAACAAGGCGTTCTCGTCAAGGAGTACATTACGTCCATCAAAATAAAATGATGCTTTAATATTTTGCCAACGCAGGGATTCCATCGCGAAATCCTACGTTACCAAAATAGTGCTGTCATAAACGAAGGTGAGAAACGGGTTAGGGGTGTAGGCTCCGAAATATTTAGCCAGGGATTGGGAAGGAAACTCCGCCGCGTCATTTAGGGGGATTGACACTTTCAATAGAAAAAAGACCCAGAATGTCTTAATTAGAAGAGAAACCAAACAAGACAAGCATTTAATTGTGTCGTAAATTCTAGTGTCAGGGGGAAACGTCTTATTGGATTTGGAATAAAATTTAAAATAAACACTGCAAATCTTAAAATTGAAATTAAACGCCAAATGAAACGCGTATTTACAATATAGAACACACATAAATTATTGAGTCTGCAGATCCAGCGAGCTCTAGGGCCCCTAGCAGAAATATCATTATTTCTTTATTTGACAGTCTTTCACACTTTTAGGAAAATTTATATCACAAGACAAACCCAAAACTACCTATTTCAGCATTTCCACTGTTTACCCAGTTAAGCGGTTTAGAATCATACGAAATATTTGTTTCTGTAATTTCAAGAACTAATGAGAAATTTGACTGGAAGGATTTATATAATGATGGGACTTGCTTCGTTTGGGGGGAAAAGCATTGTTTACAAGAACTTGTGGTCAACGCAGTTACATACCGGTATCGCTATATCTGCTTCAAACCTTTATTGGACTGAGGAAATTTATGACAATTTGTCAATATTACTTAGGGAGTATTTGGTCGACTTAGAACAAAACAGGCAAACATGAAAACTCGTAATAACAAAGGGTTGCTAGGAATAGAGCGCCTCGTGTGTCGTTTGGACTCCTTTTCCAGTCTCGCTTTCAAAAGACCGTATACCCCGTGATTTGCTGGTCGGTCTTAAAGCAAACACCAGTCCCGGGTTGGTTGGTCTTTATCATTTGTTCATTCATCAAGCTATCTTCCCAGGCGGGCTTTTCCGTGATTTAAGGACTAGTGACGCAGGTCCCTACAAACAGCAGTCAATAAGCTATATTTCCAACTGTTCGATCTATTATGGAACAGTTGAAAAATTACCTTTCTTTTACATACCAATCGTAACCTTTGTCACTTAGAAATGTTTGACTTCTGTCTTCCATTGTGAAAGGAAAAGTTCGATCCAATTTCGAAAACGATTTATTCTAGTCTAAATTCGTTCGTTCTTTGATAAATGTAGTTATTTGTGTTTTACATTGCAATTTATCCAAGAGTTTTATTTCCTTTGTTCCTTTGTTCAGATGTAGAGAAATTCTTTCCTTTGAAACAAATGCTTTTAAAATATATTTTAAAAACTTACAGAAGCATTTTGAGGATTAACAATGGGACCACATGATTTCTTTTTAAATTAAAAAAAAATATTTTTCTATCGTTAAAAAGTATAAAATTTCTTATACTAAACACACCCTGGAACTCTTTTCCCAAACAAAGCCGTTTATTGATGTGTACTGTTGGCTGTACTCTTTGGTATAAGAAGACATGACTTAGAAGTTGTTCACAAGGTTGTACAGCCGTATAACTAGGATTTACAACCCACCTCTTAACTCGGTTAATAATGTCAAGAGGCGATATCTCTTTTATGCGAGTAAAATATCTGACAAACGAAAACTACTTGATTTCTGATTTTTAAAAATTACTCCATGAACGAAAATTATTGATGATGTGAAATATCAATTTCCGGATTTTTTTTCTTGAGCTTATAAGAAAATTCATGAAATTCGTAAACGTAGCAACAGAAATTGGAGAAACATGTTAATTTCTATGTTTTGATCATCGAATCCATTTAAATATTGCATAAAAAGACACACTTAACTGAATGTAAATTAAAAATAAAAAAAAACCTTCTTTGCAAAATTTTATTTATTTTATTAACGAGACGAAGAGAATTAATTGCAGTGGACAGACTGTTGTCCAATCGTATTAAAGGAATTGGGCATTTTGTACTAACGACCAACAGCTGCTTCGCATGGTGTCAATGTCTGAAAAATATAGCCACGATCCCCCATATATCAGAACTGACCAAGCATAGGGTACAGAGAAATTACTAGACAAATCCAACAACTTTTGTTTTCACTGCAGATTCCAACCCAGTGTTTCCTCATGTAGCGTAAAATTTTGAACATTTCACGCGAATCTAGTAGCAGTTGACCCGTGTGGATGCAGACACCCATTCTCGGAATCCCAAATCTCGTTATGGGCGAGTTTCTGCATTTATTATTTTGGTAATGCGAGCTTTGATTGGGCTGTTAGTTGCGTTGCTGAGTATAAATGTTTGGGTACGCTGGTTTTCGTCAAAGATTTATACAAGTGACACTTGTTTTGTGTCAGAAGAAAGATGTCGGTAAAATTGGGCCCCGATGCATGCCATCTGCACATTTCACGAAAATACGCATAGTTCTATAATTCGTACAAATAAAAATAAAACGGAAAACTTGGCATGTATTATAGGTTGATATTCTATTACCTATTATATGTTTGATTTGGAATACAAGATCGTGATTTTCAGCTTAAGACTTGAGGCTTTTGACCATATTGTAAGGGCCCATCATGACTATTAGCACTTGAAACCGACACGATGATTCGAAGTAACCTAAATATGATGAGAAAGATAACCTGAACGAAGCCGAACCTGTTCCTGGGATGGCAGGGTCCACAAACAAAATAGCCCTCCTCTACCCAGCTAGGGGAAAATGTCAAGAAACCTCCGTGTTATCTTCTAGATCAAACATAGATAAGTGGCCACAGACAACCAAAGGTTCTATTTGATTTGGTCCGCTTAAATTGACGCCCTTTAGAGTTATAAAATAATTTAAGTATTTTGAAGATTAATAAATCTTATTAATTGTTTGTACTCTCTCTCTCTCTCTCTCTCTGTCGTCTTTGGCATTCCTGTTTGTTACCAGCGCAAGGTTTATAATTCTGTGATACATATTCCTTAATAAATATATTTTGCGCAATTAATATCAATTCATATAGATGATCCAGTAATCATTGTTTATTTTTTAAATTTTATATACATGTGCTTTAAGCCTAATAGTCTAACAAACTTGTTGCTTTGCATAATTTGCTTATGATTGCTTGGCAGTAAATCATTTATAACCAATATGTCAGGGTAGCTTTCTTTGTGACAAAATCGCCACACTTAATCTTCTTGAAGTGTCGGGCTGCAAAGTGTGATCCCAGGAAACCATTTTATCTAATATTGTGGAGTAAAAAGATTAACAAATAAACCGATTATCTGATAATTCGGAGCTATAGAGTAGGTATATTTTATCAAGACAAAGGTAACATTGAAATCTCGAGAGAACACACGAGATTCAAAAATCACCCCAGAGGTCAGATAAGACCTGCCATGCACACAGGTTTAACTCAATAAATTGATTTTTAAGCATTCTCCTCGGGTTTAAAGTATTACACCATCGCTTAAATTGAAGCACAAATATCTCAGGTTGCCGCGAAGCTCGTCATGTATCTAACGGCAGGAATATATTTTGCCAATTAATTTTATCCTAAAACGTTATTTATAGGGGTATATCCAAACATAGGAAGCGGTTACAAATTGTACGTGAAATTCACTCCCTGATGACCCGTTCATTGCGTTTTGGCAATTGATAAGACCAAGTTTATTTGTCAAAACTGATACGATTGTTTGAAAAGTTACAATAACATCAAATAGCAAATAATCAGATAAAAATATTTACCAGTAAATTTCTGTAAGCATATTCAATTTTCTAATCAGATAAAATCCAGATATATGTAGTTTTAAAATTGAAATTATTTGCAAAAGAATGAACTTGTCAAACAGAAAATAACGTTGAACGACCGTAAAGAGTAGAAAGCTATGTTGCATGAACCTTCATGTTGGAGGAGCAACGATATGGGATTCTTGTTACATGTATTTCCAATATCGTATTCCATATATTGTGAAATTCCTATACTCAAAATCAATTTATTTATTATTTTTATAGCGTATATTATTTTTGAAGCGTATATCTTTGTAAATAAAAATTCAGCATAAGATGCATGCAACACCGCGACCACAGAACGAAAAGCAAAGCACCTCATTTTTCTTTGGAGAAAAATCCAATGACGACCAAGCCGATCTGATAAAAAGAAAAATGATGCAAAAGAGATAAGAAATTCATTTAGAAAAAAATAAATAAAATAGAGATCTGCTGAGCTCTCGGCTAGTGAAAGACCAGAAAGATGGGTTTTATGGGAGTCTGTCCCAGAGCTGACATTTACCTTCACAAGGTGCGGGGTTTTCCTAGAGCGCTGGGCTTATCTGATGAAACTTAGCATTTTACATCAAAATAGATAAGAAAATCAGGTCCAATTTTTATATAGTTCACATTTGATGAGGGGGAACATCCAATTTTTTTTTTCATTTGGCGATGTAGCATCACTTTTTTTGTTAATATTAAATGAACAAAGTTTTGAAAAGTGAAGAGTTCTAATGTAATGCAGAATACCCGTATTTCTAAAATCTGCACTACCAAATTTATAATCGATAAAACTAAGTTTTTTTTTATTTCAACCATTTTTTAAGTTAAATTTCATGGTTAATATGAAACCTCTTTTCCGCTTGACGGTTTATTAAATGCTTCAATTCAGCAATATTTGGTTTGTGTTTTTGCGTCTGTTGGGGAAATGTGGTTTTTGGTTCCAAATCGTGACGGAATGTTAATGACTAGCTGTTCCGATCTTTTAACTTACACAACACAAGAATCTATTGTGAAGGGTGTCCACAGACAACACACAGAAAACGGAAGCGTCCTAAATATGTATAGAATAAAAAGTCACTGGGGATGTTCATGATATGTTTAAAACAATGACTACAAACAAAAAATTCTTAGATAATATCTAGAATCTTTTAATGACGCAATGTATGGTTAACGAAGCATTAAGCAATCTTTAGAGGGTCCCGACCCCCTCGCGTACAGCGGAACAGCAGCAACGCCAGCTTTAGAGATGATCTCTTGCCTCTGCCTTTATCTTTTAAATCTGCCAATTTGACATTCAAGTTTATCAATTTGATTTCGACTTAGTATAATCCTGAACAAGAAGGTTATCTCTGTTAAAAGCAAAGGATCACCGAAAGGATTCAACAGAATTAACTTTTCACGACCGTTGGACAGAAGGCCGCGTTACATCTTTCTTTCTCCGAGACACCGTATAGTTCCTCAGTAATTTCATTGATAAAATACTCGAGACTCCCGAACAAAAAACATCAAGTTGCAAAAACAAATCGTCTTTAATCGGTATTTTAAAATCTAAACATTGATAGAAGGGTTCTAGAAAAAAAGACTTTGATACCGTTTGTCCCAAGTGTGACGATGATGGATCGTGGCAGGCGAATGAATAATATTCATGAATGAACCGAGATGGTATCTATATATCATATGATACATTGATGACATCACAAGATCTCAAGATTAAGGTAGTCGGCACGACGAGTTATGACCATTTTTTCTGATTCCAACATTTTGAAGAATGCGGGTCCGTTACCCGATCTCGTCTGTTTGATGTCGGAGTTCCTCTCTACAAGTATATCAACCAGGGAAGCAGCCGACTAGTATTGATTCGCTAGATCTTATCTGTCGCTTCATTAAGAATAAAATACTGAAATTCGTTTACTTAAAGTCTTATCACTTACAATCAGATAGCTTTAAATTATCCATTTTATCAGTTCCCATCTTAGTTTAGAAAAAAAATGAAAATAAAAAAAATGAGATAAAGCTGAGGGCACGGATGCTATATTTCACATTGAGAATATGTATTAAATGTTTATATTTGAATCAGCGTGTCGTCCGGAGTTTCGTGATAATCTCGCGCGTGCTTGCGCGTGTTGTCAAGTGAGCACCAAGTGACATGTATTCACTGGGGTTTGAAGTATCGTAAAATCTCGTTGATATAAAAATGTTTCCAAGATAAGAAAAGGATTCCGATTTACTTTTTCGCTGTGTATCCTCCGTTTCGTTATCTTTAACTGACGATTGCGAAAAAGATTTTGATGATATATGCCCTGAAATTTTCCATCCCTGCTCGTAACCCTACGATTTTATCTATTTTGTCGACCAATTTGTGAAGAATTTCCTGTTGTTTTAAAGAGTGAAGCAATTTCTCCACTCCTAAGTATTGAATGAAAGCTAATGAAAATTCAAAATTGACTTTGTGAATCTTAATCAATTTAATCTCACTGATACAAAATGGCAATTTTGATTTAAAAATTATCAGATGTGAATTCACACACATTATAAAAGATCAAATCATTAGATTATGTAAAAGTATTATTTTTTTTCAAAATATAAAAAAAAAGAAAATAATTTTCATTATAAAAATTCTATCTTGATAAGTAAAAAATTATTTGTAATTCTCTTGTAATTTTCTCGGAAAAATTGAAGGCATACCAAATTAAAACCTACCAGAATTCACATACGTCAACCTAGAATATTGCAAGAACATTGTCAGTTTAAAGATGGAATATTATAAGGTCATATTTCACCGACTTATGATAAAATGGGTAGATAGGAAATTTTTTAATGGACTTAATTAAAGATTAATATATTTATAAATGAATGATAATTTAGTCCATGCGAAAATAATATGAGATAATTGATCACTAGATGAAAGAAATTTGAAATAATTAAAAAATATACTGATCGTTTCCTGGAAAATTTAGAGAAGTTTAAAGTCACACCATCCTAAAGTTTAGTCGGGGGAGGACAAACATACAATTTATTTTAAATACGACCGAAGCGCTTTTACACCCTTTTTTAATATTGAAGATGAAGAATGTTTATTGCATCACTTAATCCGTTCAATGCTCTTTTAAATTCTTTGATCCTTTCTGTTTGTTTTCTTCAACAAATCTCTACTTTTCTTCTCTAAATTACAACAAAGTGCCACCGTAAAACACAATTAATTGAACAATGACCATGAATTTTAATAAAGATGTAGTTTCTGCCTAATTTGCGTTGATATAATGTTTTATACTAGTTTAGATGCCTATTTTGTCTTGACACAGTGTTACACTGATATTTTTACAATTTAATAAGTTCGTTATCAGGTATATTTTTACCTCGGCGCCGTTCTCGGAGGCAACTCGTGACGTAGCAGGACCGCGGCCCAATCACTTGACAGCTTTACGAAGTTTAATGTGTCTAGGTCAGCGTTAGAGTAAAAGGTTAAAGAAATGTTTAATAGAGAAGTAATCATCTTATAAAATATGTAATTTAATGCCTCTTGTCTTGACCGTAAATTTTTTGCGTTAACTGGAAACCAGAGAAACAAGACTTTGATGGCGAGGGTTCGAATGGCACGTTTTTCTATAGTCTCAAAATAAAAAAGCATTCTCGGATATTAGCATTTTCTTTTTGGGTGGCACCTTTGGGGTCCTTTAAAATTTCAAAGTTAAAAATAATGACCAAAAAATTCAAACATGGCAACATAAAATATTCCCAAAACATATCAAGAAGAAAAGAAACTCAATATAGATAGATCTCAACAAAATTTAAGTATAAACTTTGAGACTACTCAAGAATCTAACTTCAGTTAAATTTCAAAACAAATAAAAGAAAGTTTATAAGACTTTCCATTATTAATTTACTTGAAAATGTCAGATCTTGATTCGTGTGATGACACATTTTTCTTTACCTCACAGATCACACCAAGGGAATACCAGGCATGATGTATCCGGAATATAGCCCTATACATTACGTAAGTACTTTTTGCATTCTATATTAAGATAGCTCTTTTCTTTGTTTAGATGGACAGGACTATTTCGCGGATTTGGAGGGTCGGGAATGCGTGAACTGCGGAGCAATATCCACCCCTTTATGGCGCCGGGACGGGACCGGTCATTATTTGTGTAATGCCTGTGGATTATATCATAAGATGAATGGGATAAACCGCCCCCTTATAAAACCACAAAGACGATTGGTTAGTGTTTAAATATTCGTCACTGTATCTACTATATTCATATCGAATGTAGAGAATGGATTCCGTTGTAAGATGAAGCGCGCTAGTTTCAATGCCTGCCAGTTTTCCTCGCCTCTCTTATAACGGAAAACAGTCTCTACATCATTTTTCGTGTAGCTGCAGTATATTTTTGCTTCTTTTATTTTTTTTTATTTTACAAACCGTTTGCATTTTTGATTTTTTTCACACACTAAATTACTAGAATACTAACCAACTGTTGACTTCCGGATCGCGTTAGTTTGAATGCTCGGGTGGTATTTCCGGGGGCGGCACCATTTCGAAATTTTGCTTGGCGTTTTTTTTTCTTTGTGTTCCTTATTTTGTTTTAGATGTTTATGTGTCTTTATTGATTGTTAATTAACAACAATAACAAAGTAGGCAACCCCTAGCACGTAAACTAAGCACTGCCATCAATGTGTTGTAGGGAGAGTTCGGCGAGACCTATCCGGCCACGCCCCCATATCAATCAGCTGACCCTACCCTTCAGGCGTTCGGGCCCTGGACCACTGGTGGTAAAGGACTGGGGAAATCAAGAGTAGGTTTACACCTTACTTGCACCTCTGAAATACTTTCTGCATAAGAATATTTTAACAGGCACTTGAAAATTTTCACAAATTGCACTTACTTCTCACCGATGTTATTTCGGACATTGAAAGAATTGATATTTTCATTTTATGACGATATAAAAAAAGATCCTCTCTCGAACAGTCATCGCTGTGTGTGGTTAAAATGAAAGTTTGGAAGCTGTCTCTTTCGAAAGTGATTAAAAGTAATGGCATCAATATAAAATTCACTGATGGATTCCGTCTTTTCCCAGCGATGGCTTAGGAGATTCTGTCATATCGACTCTGGGTTAACCACTTTATCTGAAACAGAAAATGCAAACGTGTTTGTAAATGGCTTTTCTTATAATAAACATTTCTTCTTGTATTTATCCAACAAATGCTAGTAGTTACATAACAAGTGTGTTCTTTGGTAAAAGGAAAGTATACACATCGTGCGCTGTGAACAAAGACGGTGTTCTTTCCCGACTGACAAATGAGCTACTGGGTTATAAAAACACTCATGTAATTAGTTCTTAAACTTCTACAAATTACCTTCGATGTAACGAAGCACAGTAAAAACTCTAGAATCGACATGTTTTTAACTGTTCTTGAAAGGAACAAGTTCAAATCTTGGTTTCTTTTATCACCAAAATCAAAATATATGATGAAAATCATGTTATCCTGCTTCTAATTCTGGATATTATACATGTATAGTGCTTTTCCTGAGAATAAAGTATTAGTTTAATTTGAGAACAATGTATTTTTCTTTAATTATTAAGGTATTATGTCAGAAATACTTGTAAAGGTACCGGTATTAAAATTCACAACTAGGAACATTTTTGAAAACTGTCAATTATCGTCTTCTACAAAAAATATTTATTAAGAAAGTATATAATGATTTCAAAACATGAGCACACAAATAAATTTGATAAATGAATCATTGACTGAAATAAAATAAAATATCACGACGTACAGCTCCTGTTTCAAAGGGGAGATAATGAACCTCATCCTTTAGGTCACATCTGTCATCAGTATTTAGCCTGGCCTTAAACGCGTCGTATGTTGGTTCAAATAAATTTGAAAACTCTCCCCTTAAAAGCAATTCTTTGTAAAGGCTACTTAATCGATTCCCTCTAGAACAACAGACCCAGCTGCTTCTCGGGAAAAGATTGATAAGGCATGAGACAGAAATTTAAAAAAAGAAGAAAAGAAATCTTCGTTTAAGCACCGTCTCCGACACAAAATAGTTGTAACCGTTTAACACGCTCAAAAACAACGACTTTTCATAAAAATGACCTTTTTTATTTTTTGCAGTCTTTCCATATTAATTTTTTTTTATTTTTTGCAGTCGGCTCTTAAACTGTAAACTGATCTACACCTATCAGGGTTAATTCTTTTGAATTTCTTGATTTTGTATTTTACTGGCATTACTTGTGCCAACTTTGACTTTGGCAAACGCACCACAACGACAACATTAACAAATTGTAAAGCCTGCAAGCAATAAAAATCAAATTTTATTTATAATGAAGTTAAAGAGATCTTTTTATTTTTTGCTATACAAAAAATCATGTTATTAGGAATTAATTACTGCTGATTTTGTTGTTCGTTTTGTCATTTTTTTTTAAGATTGAAAATCTTGCAAAATTGTTAAGTCGTAAAAATTAGATCATCAAAAAGTTATCTCCCTTGCCTTGAACAGCATTTCAACCAATGAAATAATTGAAAATTTTCTCATTACATCACAAAAGAGAGGTGCATAGTCTAAATGACTTCATAAAATGGATGTAAAAAATGGCTGTTAACCCATAGTTCACCATTTTGTTGGATGAAAAAATGTCAGAATTAATGATGATGGAGAAACTAAAGGAAAATAGTAAAAACTGAAATAATGAATTTGATAGACGATATTTTGTTCAAATTGGAGGGACTACTGAGTATTTCGTGCAAAACTATAAAATGATCGTAACTTGCAGGTAAACAGGCCACTCGCCATGAAGAAAGATGGGATTCAGACACGGAAGAGAAAACCCAAGAATCTTGCCAAGAATAAAAATTCTAGTAAACAGGAATCAAATGGTAACTACGTCTCTCCATCTTGATCTAGAACCTTGAAATTTTGCATTTATTACATGAGAATTGTATACTCAGTAAGTTCATCGCTCTAAGAATCATGTGGGAGACACTGTAAGATATATATTTTGTCTGTTTTGAAAATTTCAGCTAAATAAAGCAGACATTATATGATTTCTTATAAAATTGATTTGTAATTATATTTTTTATAATATTTTGACTTAGGAATTGTCTGATATCATAAGATTTTAAACTAAATATTTCCTTTTTTTTTGGATATACATGTTTATCATGGAGTGAATATAAAAAATCTGACTCCATTTAAAAAGTATTAATTTGCATGGCTACAGATTGTTACTTTACGTTTTTTAAAATTCGTTTAACGAAATATTCTGTAAAAAAGTCAACCATAGTAGAAAGCAGCGATCCATTTTTCCTCTTTTACACTAATTAACTTAAGCTTGAAATCGAGCAGATGGGGTTAATTTTTTTAGTTTGAATTTATTAACTTTGGTACATTTACCTTCTCAAAACAAAATCTTGGTCTCGTTCTGCTAAATCATTGGTAAAATTAGATTTAATTCTCTTTGACGATGTCTGTTTCCGGTTACGATACAAGTAGAAATTGTATAAATTGGCTTATTAACTCAATGCCGAATGTGTATTCTGGCCCATCTAAATATATGTCTGTTCGAAGGGTTTGGGAGCAAATGTGGTTAAATATTTTTGAAGTTTCAAGTTTCACAAACATATGAAATATTATTTGCTAATTTGCCAACGACATGCACTCAGCTGCGTCAACACTGTTCCTCGCTAAGTGGGCGCTGAAAGTTCTGACCACAGACTCAAGAATTCCTGTAATGCTTATCACTGGTTTATCACCCCAACTTCATATTTATTTAATAAGTCATCACTAGCGATTTGAAGATCGCCTTTACGATTAGCCACTTACACGTTTCTCGTGTTGCTATCGTGTTTACAGTTTTAAGTGACCATGCTTTCCTAACATGTTTTCTCTCTTCATTAGCGGATGTAAAACCAGCCGTCTCGCCCAACACCTTAAACAACAATTCCTCCAACCAGAACAACGCCTTGGCGAGTTCCATTAACAGTTCCAATGTGATGAGCCACAATTCGTCAATGACAACACTCACCTCCGTCGGAGTCGATCATGAAAGCGGGTTAGGGAGTCCGGTGAACTTAGCTTCCGTCCCGCATTATTCATCGCCATCACCACCTAAAGCTGTTCTGGTCAAAACTGAAAGTGACAGTCTCCATGGACACGGTGGACCTCTTCATTCTGAACCCGGGTCACTAAGTGCTGTGACTGTAGGGGCCAATTAACCGGAAGTGAGCCGAATCTCGCAGACATTACAACGTATTCATACGCATTACATTTGATATAGATTTTTATAAGTTATTATAATATTCAAATGAAAGTTTATACGTTATTATATTATTTTCATATGTTGGTTCTAGGGAATACATTATTATCCTAGAAATTGTTGATTGTCTCATTTCTATATATAGATTCGAAATGTATATACTTGTATTGAAATGCATGTCTGCTAAAACATGTATTTGAAACTGCTTGTTTTTGAGGGATATGTTATATAGATATAAATTTTAATATCCATTAGGAAGTTACCAATTTTATACCCAATTATGAAAAAAATCAATCAAATACAAATAACTTTACAACTACCTCACAATTAACGTACTGTGTTCACGTGAGATCAATGTCATTGAACACCCATCTCCGTAAAATTTGCATACTAGCATGATGTTCATGATGTTCAACAACGGATTAAATAAAAAAAAAAAAAAATAACCGGTACCATTCCCGGTGATCATACTCAAAAACAATACTTAAATCCTATAGAAAAGAAAGCTAAACTTGCTTTCCCTTGTTCCCTGTCACGTGACGTAGTGTATTTATCAGGGTATAAATCACTTTTAACGTAAGTTTGTTTGTAAACGCGAGTGAGTGAACATAAAGGTGCTATATTTGGGCGTGAATCGGTTTGCCATATCTTATGAAGGCTAGTCGACTATCAGAACATTTCTGATGTTATACTTTAATCGTATTCTTTTTTTTGTGGTTATCTAGATAGATATTTTGAATTATGTGTAAAAAATTTTACTATGCATATCAAAACCTACTGAAATTTTAAATTGTGTAATGAAATATACGTAGATGTATAATTTAATTGATTGAATGGGGCCAAAGGGAAATAACTCATTGATTACTGCAATTCAGTTTAGTTTTACGATGTGTGTTAGATTTTTAAAGAAAATGTAATTCAATTCTTGCCATATTTAACATGATTGAATAAAATATAAAATGAATATATTTGTTGTTATTTTTCTTAAAAGATAATCTTATTGACTTAAGTAATACCTACATCTTATTTCATAATTTTTGAGAAAGTTTTATCACCCCTGGTCAATCCATATATGTCAAACTTCAATATCCTTTTAAATAAAAAGGGATTCGTGCCTTCTATATATTTAGATTTTTAGAATTTTAAAGACCATATTAATTCCCTCTCGTAGTTCTACATCTCTAAATAGAAAATGGTTAAAATCTATAGAGCTCTATATCAGGGACCACGTTTTTGGCGAGAAGATGGTGTGTGAAGCAACATCCTTTTCTGCTTCTCAGAACTGCTAAGGAAAACTTTGACTTTATAGAAATCATTAAATGTAGGGTTTTAAACAATTTGTGGAGTAACTAAAATTCATAAATATGCACCAAAGTTTTGAAATAATATTAAATAAATATGATTTTCCAAAGAAACAATGACCTTGCTAATTTTTTGAAAGTTTGAATCGAACACAGACTCCGCGAAGCTGATCATCCCTTCGAAAAGGATCGTATAACATTCACGTGGGGGTGTCTAAGGGAGAAGCATGGCGGTTAGGGAGTTAAACCTGCTATGTATAGGAAGTCTACATCAAAAACTGCATTAATATATTTTGTTTTAATTTACAAAGAGTACTATATTTTTAAAAATACATACCCAGGTATTTGGAAAAAAGATGTATATATTTATATGAAAATAAATTTTAATGAGAGTTTTGGATAGTGGTATAGATAACTCCGAAAAACACACGGTTTTCACATGTGAAGCTTTAAGTAGCAGTTCATATATCTCTTTCAAAAGCTGGAAAATGTACCCTAAAAATAATAAGTAAACCGTAGGATTTGTTCTTTGAAATATATATAACTTATGTTGTCTTGACAGTTTCTGACAGATATTTGCAGTGCTGCTTGTTGATCAAGGGAAATATAAAGATGCATCTATGGGGTGCATAAAATAATAAATCCAGTCTTTCTCATGTTTCATGGGTTAAATACACCCAATTGATAATTGATCAAAGTATTACACTTGAATAAAAAAAATTGTATTTCCATTGATATAAAAAAGTCTATTCAAAAATTCTCCTTCTCTTATTTCTATAAATTGGTCACTTTTGCTTGTCCCTAAAGTTAGGTAACGGTCTGATAGCTGTGTTTTCTTCACAACCGTTGCACATACTGAGATGAAATTTGGTATACAGATATATCAGATAAATATCTAGGTCAAGTTGTGTTTTGCATATGACATTATGCCCCTTGGACAAAAAATTCCACATTTGCACTTTCCGTTCATTTTCTTTGGAAAGGTTGCACACATTGAAATGGAATTTAGTAGATTAGTCATGAATATCTAGATCAACATATTAATTACATACATTTTTGACATAATTGCCATTGGACTAAAAAATTCCAATTATTTGCAGTTTCACTATTTCTTGATAAATTGTACATATATATACATACATATTATTGTGTTACATGTATCATAACACACACGTTTGCTATATCTAATTTACAAAAAAAATATGCCCTTTTGGTTTTAGAAAATTCCAATTTGTGGGGGAGGGGGGCATTTAATTTTTACAAACATCTCTTGTTTTAAAATTTGTTATCCCAAAGTTAAAAATTTTATAATGTGTTAGCACATTGATTCAGCATTATAACATATGACGAAATTACGTCACTATTTTTTGCATGACAATGCAACAAACAAATACACACACACACACACCCTCACGCACACACACGTTTGTGTTTCTATATAAAATTACAAAAAATATTCCCTCTAAGTTTTAGAATTCGTTATAACGCATTTAATTCATAATATCAAATTTTTAAATTCATTATAACGAATTTAACAAATTATAACAACGTTATAACAACAACAAATTAAAGAATTTGTTTAAGGGATTTTATTTCTTATTAACAAATTTTTAATTTGTTATAACGAATTCAATAATTTTTTTATGACAGATTTAATCTATTATGACGAATTCAATGAACTTGAATAATACAAAAAAAAAGTTGAACGGTCATTGGTTGATTTTTTAACACCAGCGCTAAATAGGAAATTATCCCGAATTCCAGCTATTGAAATAATGGGGGTAGGCGATATTTTCAAATGAAATCAGACTTTCAAGAATCGCCATATTATTAAATAGTCTTGCATATGATTACATGTTCCTTATATCTTTTCTTGTGTTATATGCAAATAAAATAATTAATCGTATATTAATGAATAAAATAAAATGTTCTAGTTCATGTAGTTGTAATTCAGTTTGAAATTGGTGAAAGAAAAAAAAAAAGAATTTGTGTCTTTTTTGTCTATAAACATTTGCCCCCCCCCCAAACACAAACAAAGCTTTGGTATGAATTTGTAAAATGACAGTCCATATTACCTGTAATAAAGAGTTGGATTTTTTGTTTCATGGGGGCTGTAAAATATTTTCAGTTCTCCGTTGATTTCTTAGTGAAAAACACGTTTCAGCAAAATTATAGAGTTATCTCTCTTTGTTTTCATAAATAAGTAATGTTTTATGAAAATCCATATTAATATCTATAAATATCTGAAAATCATTCGAATAGGTTAACTTTTGAAAATTCACTCTGAGGTAGGCAGGAGAACAATACAATCATTCGCAGTTCTTTGTTGAATTCGTTAAAGCGAATTCAAACAATGAGTCACAACGAATTAATTTCCTTAGAACGAATTCTTTAATTTGTCAAAACTAATTAAATTCGTAAAAACTTATTCGACCAATCGTTATATCAAATTCATATATAATTATATTTCATATGGGTCCCGATTGTTGAAATTAATAGCTGAAACGAATTAAATTCATTGTAACAATTTTAGAATTTGCTTAAACGAATTTAAAAAATTCGTTTTAAGTATTTAATTCCTTTTAACAAGTTTTTATATCATTATAACGAATTCAACAATTTTGTTAAAACACAGTAAATTCGATATAACGAACATAAAAAAATGTTAAAACGAATTTTTTTATCAATTATTATATCGAATTCAACAATTTTGACGGGTTCAAAACACTTCCGATAAAATTTATTATTCAAATGACATGTTCTCAATGACAGCCTGAATATAGTATAAAACCAAAATATACAATTTTGTTTCTCTCAAAAAAAAATCATTTGAAAAATGGCATAATATAAGGGACTGAAGAGCTTCAATGCCATTGACTACTTTCTTAATCCTTGTGGCGCTTGTGACACATGGGTGTAACGTAGGACTATAGCTAACGCTGAGTTTTATGGCACAAAAAATATTCTAGTTTTGTTAAGATGCTTTGATCATTATTACTACAGTATTATATACATTCAGCTTAGCTCGCAGAGGGTTGGGGATATTCAGTGAATCCAAAACCAAAAATTTACGCAATATCACACACTGTCACACGACAGTTTATATGGAATTTATTGTACTTTTCCTGCATAATGATTTTGATAACTTTAAACAGTGTTTAAAATACATGTCGACACATTTCTCAGAAATAACACTTTTGAAGAAAATTTTCGACCCTTAATGTTCATATGAAATTATTTTTGTTGTCACCCTTTCCGTCAATATAAGAAGATAACAAGAGCTTCAATGCCATTGACTATTTTGTATTTAGATTTTCTTAATCCTTGTCCCTTCGTTTTTTATTTTAAAACTTGACACATGGGTGTTCCACATAAGTTATAGCTTTCCTGGCCCAGTGGTTGTGGCACAAAAAAAGATTTGTTCATAGTTTTGTTAAAACTGCTTTGATCATTATTAACAATTTAATATCATATACATGTACATTTTCAGCTTTCCTCCCTGTGGTTCTTGGAAGAAGATTTTTAAAGATTTGTTCTACATATTTCTAGAGAGTGGCCCCGAGCCCCGTCATGATTTTAACAATTTAATATCTACACTACCCAAGGATGCTTCCACACACTGTCCTGGCCCAGTGGTTCTTGAAAGTTTTTAAAGATTTGTTTTATATATTTCTATGTAAAACTTTTCCTGCATAATGATTTTGATAATTTTAAATAGTGTTTAAAATACATGTCAACACATTTCTTAGAAATGACAGTTTTGAAGAAAATTTTCGGCCTTTAATGTTCATATGAAATTATTTTTGTTGTCGCCCTTTCCTTTACCCATAGGAAGAAGATAATAACTCTCTCAATGAAAATGAATTTATTGTTAATTCAAAGATGTACACTGTAAGCTGAAGAATCAAATCTTATGTGTGTACAGTCAATTCGTAAGATACATAGTGCGTTAATGAGAATCCCAGACTGTTAAATGTTCTGCGCATTCCTGGAGATAACCAAAGCTGCAGCACTTCTTGCAGACCGAGCAGTCCGTATCAGTTGAAGAGCGGGCCTAGCAAATGCTTCGATTGCACCTCTTCCTGGGTGCTTTGGTACTAAAAAACCATCGCCTGGTGAAAAAAAAAGGTTTCATAATGATTATAAACCAAAAATTTTTACATAGATCCGTAATTAATTTGCCTGATTTTATCACAACCAGCGATATATGAATTTCAAGTCAAAAACTAATTGCAAATAATTCTTTGTCTAAAGCAATAAGATTAATCTAGTTGAGAAAATAAAATATCGCATGTTATCTTAATTTTAATTTTCCTTTTCTTTGCATGGTCATAAGCATTCTGAAACAGATCTGGTTTGTAACATTTCAACTAAGATTTAGTTTCTAAAGAAGCAACATTTTAATGCAATCTCTTCCAAGTTTGTTAATTTTGACCCACACAAAGATATAATTATCACTTTGATGCATATTCCATCAATTATTACTAGCATTTTGGAAAGACTTAAATAGCAGCAAGTAAACTTGCTGGTAATTGCAAAAGAATAAAATGATCGAACTAGAAAAATCTATAAACAAGACAAATTTGTGAACAGGGCATAAAGACGGACCCCCGGAAGTTTCAGAGAGGAATCACATCCGTCCTAGATCCCTACGAGCCTCTAACGTATTGATCAGTAAGATGGAACATTCATCAATTCAATTCAGTTTTAAGATTTCAGTTAAAAAAAACAAAGGCTTAACAATTATGATATCAGCCCAAATACGATCCAATAATAGGTTTTATTATAAATTGCACCCAAAAATTCTTTTTGTAGTTTTTTTTTTTATAATTAGAAACTATAGCTTTTTATTATCTATGTGGTTTTAAAGATGTTATTGAACTTAAATTGGTGAAAATTGGCACGAGTTGGCTGTAGAAATGCTAGAGCTTGCAATATTCACCAATATACTTAGTACATGTAAGTCCGATAACCCTATAGTATTTGCTAACAATGTCATTGTACATGTATGACGACCATTTTTACAACGCACTTTTGAAATATAACGCACTTTGATTTTTTTTTCACAGAACAGTAAATTTGGGACCAAGTTAACGCACTTTGAAAAGAGAATTTTTTTTTTCAAAGTGCGTTAATATCGACATTGACGCATTTTGAAAAAGAACACACGTCTTGTTTATTATACTTGCAAATTTAAAGTATGATATACATGTATAATTATTGGAACCTGTTGGATAATTTTTCGTTGACACTGAAAAAAACATCACTTCAGGATCTGAGATATAGACATTTTAAAGATTTTGTAAAGCTTCTTTACCAGAGTATTTTAATAAAACTTTAAAAAGACAGTTGGCTACTGTTGCTAAGATTTAAATTGCCCTGAGCCTCTCCTCCTTTTTAAGGCTGCTTTTTCCTAAGGAAAGCTTGCATCAATTTTTCATCTACTTACATGTAACTTTGACTCAAAATTATTTAGAGAAAGTATGTCAACATCTTACAAATTATGTAAATACATGTACATGTATTTGAGTAGGAAAGATAAAGAGTTGGGCTGAGGGACCTTCTACCTGTCTTCTCCTCGTTCTCGATGAGGGTAAATAAATTCATAGGTTTTTCAAGAGAAATATGAAAAAAACAATACTGTCTGTTACTTATAATAAATCTAAGTCCAGTTTTTTATTCATGCATTTTTTTCAAAGTGCGTTAAGTGTATCGTTTGTGAAAAAAATGTTGATGTACCCTCTTAACACACTTTGAGAAAAATATTCAAAGTGCGTCGATTTTGTCCCAAATTTAACACTCTTTGAAATATCTTTTCAAAATTTGTTGATTTTGTCCCAATTTTAATGCACTTTCAATTTTTTTGGTGCGTAATTTTTTTTGAAGTGCGTTGCCAGAGACCATGAAATTTCAGAAATGCCGACTTTAAACGAGGTTTTTTAAATACTCGTAACATCAACTTATCTGTCAGTAGCTTGAATGGGTAAAAAATTGATCGTATTCAAAGCATACACTGTACTCTTGAGTATCAAAATGATAGCAAAATATTACACATAAAGGAAAGTTGACGATGGAAAAGTTCAAATAATCCAGTTTATCATACTGTTATTTAGTTGTTAGTTGGCTCTTATATCCTCTATATTCAGTAAAAAAAAATCCACATGAAAGAGATGTGGCAAACTCTGTAGCTTATTGTAGATTACAATTTAACGAATTCTGTATAGTTCCCTAGCTACACACACATATACATTAAGAACATTAATAAACACCAAAAGAATACATTGTAAATTGAATCTTAATCTAATAAGTTTCTGAAACTTTTACTAATAATCTTTAGCTTACCACACGTGCAGAGTAGTCCGACCAACAGCACGGCGACTATTAGAACTTTAACCATTTTGAATCAATGCACCTTACCGTATCATAAGAACAAATTGACTCGCTTTAATTTATATCTCACAGATTTGGAAAACCTAGGTAAAAAAAAAATTGACAAATTGTAAAATTGTGATTTTTTTGGCTGTTTTGCCTGACTTAAAAGTTTCTGGAAATTCCCACACAAAAGCCATCTTTTAAAAAAGATTGATTTATATTTCAACATCTATAGCAGAAAAAAATACAGAAAATAATCTGCATGCTTGAGTTATGTATTTTAGCTCACCTGAGCTGAAAGCTCAAGTGAGCTTTTCTGATCACCCATTGTGATAATAGGAAAATTCTTTAAAAATATTCTTCTCAAGAACCACTTGGCCACAAAACCTGAACATTACATGTAAGCATCCTTGGGTAGTGTAGATTTAAAATTGTTAAAACCATGAACCCCGGGGGTAAGATGGGGCCATAATAGGGAATACAAATTTTACATTGAATTATATACACTGTAGTGAAATTCTTTTAAAATCTTTTTCTCAAGAACCACTGGGCCAGAAAAGCTGTGGAAACATCCTTGAGTAGTGTAGATTCTAAATTCTTGAAATCATGACCCCCGAGGGTAGAGTTGGGCCACAATAGGGAATCCAAGTTTTATAAAGTTCTTGAAATTTCTTCTTCTCAAGAACCACTGGGCCAGAAAAGCTGTAACTTACAAGGAAGTATCCTTGTGATGTGTAGATTCTAAATTGTTCAAATCATGACCCCTGGGGGTAGGGCAGGGCCACAATATGTATTACAAAGGGGGAAATCTGGTAAAGAACAAAGTAATCAGGTGAGCGATGTTGCCCATGGGCCACTTGACTAAAGATGCATTTTCGTTTTTTTTTCTTTCGATTCATTCATTTTTATTTCATTTATTTATTTATTTTTTATTTTGGAAATAATGTCTATCACAATATTTAATCTGTAGTAATTACACGAGTGTCATGTTCTCATGGAATGTATATGTCCAAAAGTAGTTTTCAAGACAATGTTTTCTTGAAATAGTATGATTAGCATTTAGGAGAACTTGAACATTTTTGGATGATAAATGAGCAGGCTTCATTGCATATTTATTATGATAAAACTTACTAACAAATAACAAATAGGGGACAATAACTTTAGTTTTCAAAATTGCAGTAATTTCACTATTTATTTATAGAACATTATATATATAAGCATCAATAAACTTCGCCCCAATGGTATTTCATCACTTCAAAAGAGTACAGAAGGACCCGTTACTTTAGGTAAAGAGTTTTAAGTATGCTTCATATTATGCATTTTCCTTCCAGAAATATTTTTGCTGGAAATTTCTCAATTACGTAAACAAAAACAAATAAATCACATAATTTAACATTGTGCATGCCAAGATGGATTAATTTAATGTCGTAAATGATAAAATATTGGAAATTAATACAAATTAAAGACGCCTTTCAAAAACTTTAAATGAAATAGATTTTATATCTTTTATCGTAATAGGTACGTTAAAAATCTAGGCTTTTTAAGGTAAAAGTTTTACTTTCAAATAAAAAGGACTGAAAATTGAAAAAAAAAATTCCTCTCAAGAACAGGAAAGTACATGTAATGATGCAATTACAGTTCAAAGCATCCCCAAATATTGAGTATTCAAGACTGAAGAAAACTCATTATCTGAAAGTATTGCATTCGCAATATTAGTCCCTTACCGGTATGTGTAATCTGGTTCCCATTTAAAATTAAAAGTGCCCAATTTCACTCAAAAATCATTAAAGCGGAACGAATTTCAAAGTTGAGCTGTACCTTATCAAAATACATTTACATATTTTAAAAAAAATCAGCTCAATATATACAAGCGTTTAAAAAAAAAAGTTGCGAAAACCCGTTTAAAAAAAAGGCGTTTTTCTTTAAAAATCATTGAAGCGGAACAAAATTCGAACTTGATCTGTAACTCACCAGGATATATTAAGGACAGATGACACAAAAAATTCTTTTCTTTGGAGGAGACTAAATATCATGTCACAAGTTTAGAAAAGTGGATAATGCTTAGATTTTTTTCTCCTAAGAACTGGAAAATGAAATAGACTTTGAAAATATTAGTACATGTAATACCGGTATTTCAATATAATTACAAATACAAATGTATGGATAAAACACACTCTGTGCAGGTTTACAGATGAAAACAAGTTTCAGAATATGTTACTTTGGTGCTAAAAGTGTACATGCAATTTAATCTTTATAAAAATATATTAATCCAGGTGAATTTTATTAAGAAAAGCAAAATGGTGAAAATAAGTCTATGTGTTATTGCTGATTTTTTGTCATTTTGTATTTCCTTATAAAATTCACCTGGTTTGGTATATTTTTCAAAAGTTTATATATCACTTTTAGCACCAAGATAACATATTCTGAAATTTGTTTTAAGCAAAGAAAAAAACTGAAAGCAAATCAACAAAATAAAAACAATGATTGTAGGGTCAATGTTTTCTCAGGGAGAGGATGTCCAAAGTCATTTTTTTATTTGCTTCAGTATACAGTCTTATTCAAGGAACAGTTTGAAGCAAATTCCAAGGAGGGATCCAATCTCCCTAGCCACTTCCTGTTCCTGAAATTACAATCGATCTTGGGACTCCAAAATAATAGATTTTTTTTCCATTTGACTATATACATATTTTGTTTCTTGTGTTTATATTATGTCTGTCTGTTCCACTGAAGCTTTAACCTTGCCCATAAGTTTTAAGTGGGATGGGCTGTACACATGGCTTCCGCATTTCATAGGTTAATTCCTTGTGACAAGACCTTTTATTTGGGTACCACCAATTTTCACCTCTTGATCTCTTGACCTTGGATTTTTACCCATTTTTACAAGAAGACTACCAAACTTTAAACTTATATTTTGATCAGTAGGGCTTTCATGCTTAAGATGTGTATTCATTGTGAACTTTCAACGGGTATAAATATGTTTGACCTTGACCATAGAGTTTGACCCACTTTAAAAAAAAAATTAACCTTGGCAATTTACTTTTGTACAGGAAGTATTAGGGATGTCTTATTTCACACGTGTATTCCTTGTGACAAGACTTTCTTTTGATAACAACAATTTTAACCCTTTGACCTTTCAGTTTGACATACATTTTAGAATCTTCAACCGTCACCATAGGCTGCCCTACGGGGACATCAATGTTTCACAAACACATCCTGTCTTTGTTATCTTTAAGTGGTGGTGTCTCCAGATGAGGGAAAAATCCCGAGAAAGATGTTTTCACAATAAACAAACAAATTACTAAAAAATATAAAACATGAACATGTTAGTCATATCTCTTATTCTCTCTTGAATCAGAAATGATGATATAAATATTTTTAAAATAATCAGATTTATCCCTAAAAGATAAATACAGTTATTGAGAAGGCCGTTTATGGCTTTGTTTTTTTTTGAGATTATAAATAGCTACAAAGTGCAAACCGTTTTCCGGATAAAAGTTCTACAATAATACTTGAGCTTTGATTTTGTGCTTGGTCTTTTCAAAAAACCTTGATTTTGCTGAACTGTTTTCAAGGTCCCCCAGCTATGATATGGTTTGTCTGATATTTGTGACATGTTCACCAGTTTTTTTATGAACATGCCAGTTGCATGTTGCTGATGTTTGACATGCCAGTTGCATGTTATCTGTGAATGTAATTTGTAATAAAAGCCATGACAGTTCCGCCAATACAGTAAATTTTTGTTGTTCTTCAAATTCTATCAGCTAGAATAATGTTTTTTTCATTAGAAAATTTCAAAGGCTTTGATTATCAACCTTTATTGAATAGTTCTTGTTAGTATTAGGCATTTCGAAATAATCATTATAAGAGTTAAAAAGGTTGGGCATCTTAAAATTGACTAAGTTCTGTGGTTGAATTAGCTATAAAAGTTTACTAGCTTTATTTTGCTACTCAAAAAACCTTGATTAACTGTTTTCAATCATACTGTTTTCTGACATGTTCAATTTTTTTTAACAATGGATACATGTCATACAATTTCAGCTTCTCAGAAAAAGATTTTCAAATAATGTAACCATGGTTACCCTTTCAATATACTTGTGAATCATATGTTTTTAGCTCATTTGAGCTTTTCTTGTTTCCTTATCACATTACGTCTGTAGTCCATCTGTTTGTCTGGAAAATTTTTACATTTTTAACTTCTTCTCTAGAACCACTTTTAACCAATTCAATTGATTTTTCTGCCCCCGTAATCAAAGATTCGGGGCATATAGTTTACTAGTCTTGTCCGACCCCCCGTCTTGTTTGTTTATCTGTCAGTTTGTCCGCAAAAACATTAACCTTGCCCATGATTTTTGAGTGGATGGAGTTATTACTTTTATACTTCACATTTGTATTCCTTCTTACAAGACTTTTCTTGGGGGTGAATTACAGTACATGCTCTTCATAGAGAACTGTTCCAAACAAAAGAATAATAAACAAGCATTCTGAGGGTATTGCATGCATAAGTAATACATTTCTACCAGGATCCCCATTTCATTTTAGGATGTCATTTACAAGAACCTCTATATGTAAAAATGCCCCCAAAAAACAATTTAATATTTATAAAAAATCAAATTTGATCTATAATTTGTCACTATAAAGCTATCCAGCAAGTTTCAAATCAGTAATTAACATGGCAAACTCGTTTGGAACATTAATTTAATGCAACACGAACCCGATCGTGAACCCAATTATATAAAAAATTAAAAATGCCATTATTCGGTCAAAATTCAATGAAGCGAAACCAAATGCAAGTTTGATCTTTAACTCATCAAGGTGGAGTCACATACTAAAAATCAGCTCAATATCTGCAAGCGTTTAGAAAAAAGTGCGGACAACCCTGAGAAATTCAAAAGGTCGTTATTCCGTCAAAAATCATTGAAGCGGTACCAAATGCAAACTTGGTCTAACTTATCAAGAGACACTTGCAAACCAAAATTCAGATAATATCTGCAAGCGTTTAGAAAAAAGTGCAGAAAACCAAGTGGGATTGAGGGACAGACAGACGGACGGACAGACG